TACTTTATTGTAATTAGCAGAGCTTTCTAAAAATTAAAATATATATATATTTGGGAAAAGGAGCATGATAAGAAATTCCATTTCATGAAACATTTAACAAAACAATTAATGAAAAATATGTGGGAATTGAGGTTCACACAGAACTCTGGAAGATTTCAGAAAAAGGACTGGAATGGGGCATGTAAAACTGGGGGCACAATCTTTCTGGAAAGTGTTTGAATGTCTTGCTCATTTTCCATTCCTCTTTACTTTCTCTGCCACTTTGGTTGCTTTGTTGTTTTGTGTGGGTGAGTAGTTGTATTTTCTGGCAGATGCACTCCAGGGACAGAGGCTGACTGGTTGCGCTTTCTGCTCTTGGCTTCTCCTCTCAAGGGACCCCTGGAGTATTTGTACAAGGAGGAAAGCAGATGGAGTCACTGTGTGCCTTGCACAATAATACAAGGCAGAGTCTTCAGGCTTCAAATTGTTCATCTGGAGATAAGCTGAAGTCTGGGAATTGTTCCTGGAGATGGTGAATCTTCCCTCCACTTTGGGGTTATACCATTGACTAGTTCCTTGTGGTTTGCTAACACCTGCCACCCACTCCAGCCCTTTTCCTGGAGACTGTCGGATCCAGTGGATTGTATAATCAGTAAAGTTGAATCCGGATGCTTTACAGGTCAGAAGAAGGGAACCTCCAGGGATTACAACACCTCCTCCAGTCTCCACCAAGTGAATCTCTGCATGGCATCCTGAAAATAAAACATCATCAGCAAATCAGGACCAAACCTGTACAGTTATTACCTCCTACTTTTGTTTATGGGAGAAGATCTACCTGAAAGATGAATAAGGAATAGGAGGAAAGTCCAAAGAAGCATATCTCCAGTTATGATGGCTTTTCTTGAGGCTAATTTGTGATTGGTTCTGCAGATGAATTTTTGCAAGAACTGCTTTTAAGGAGATGAAACTGTTGAATTAATTTCCATCATCTCCATATTGTAAGGATGTGGTCCTTTCTTGGAGAATGATAAATCCAGTGAACATTTTCAAATTCAGGTCAAAACATCTAACTGCTTTACTTATAAACTGGCACTTTTAGATAAATGTACTGAAGAAAACAGGTTTTGAACAAATGTTGCCTAATATTAAATACATACTTTTTTACATCATTAAAACACCATGAAATTTTAAATTTAATCTAAGAAATAAAATTTAACGCAGTCCATATGGACAAACCTTTTCTAATGGTTACAGATAACCTGAAAAATTAATTTAAATTCCCAAGTGTTCCTACTGGCTTAGGCCCTAAAAATCCTGATCATTCCCTCACACAAAATTAAAGAGTTGTTAACTTCTAAACCATGTGAAGACCAAACAATAGGAATCATGTGGTCCAAAATAATTTTACTCCTAGTCTAAATCTTGAAGAGTATGTAAAATAATTAAGCAACAGATTCATTTAACACTCAGAACCATAAGTGTGCGGGAAACATTCAAGTTGGAGTTGTGACACAAATTTTAGAATCCGGGTACCATCCTGGAGCAGGCCTACACTGCCAGTTCTATCGGGCATTAAGGGACAATGTGAGAGAATGAAGTCAGGCAAGTAACCTCATACTATGGCTTTATAGGTAATAACTGGCACTTTGAAATATTTTTTTGTAACAAATCCATTAGTATTCAGGCATTAGGTGGCAATATTTACAAGTTTGGATGTATGGTATATATTCTATGTTCTTTTCTTCTAAGGACAGTTTTCTGTTATAGTTAAAACAGTTAAGCAGTAAAGAACATGTTTGTTTGATCTGTGGTTATATAAACATAATTTCTAACCGAAGCTAGTGCTACTAATGCAAGATAAGTTTTATCAGGGTTNAGCCAGTATGATGAGAATTAAGGAGTGGGGTGTCATTGTGGAAAAGGAATGAGATTGGCACCTTGAGTTGAACCTGAAGAAGGAGAGTTTAAATAGGAAGTGAAAGTCTGGTTGGCTTTGCATAAAACCTGCGGCGAGCTGTATAAATATTAGATGAGGTCCAGAAGTGTATTGAAATTTAGTTGAGAATAGATGATGATATACAGTGAGATGCATATAGATGCAAGCAGTCCTCAACTTATGCTCTGGAATTTTGGTTGTTACTCAGTGCTGCCATAGGTAGAGGCAACCACATGACTGGATGCAAATCTTCAACCATTCTTTTTAGTGATTGATATCAGAATCTTTAGATTTTTAAGCAAATGCATTGCTCCAAATGGGAGGATTTTTTTTTCATTGATACTTTGCTGTGTTTAGCAGATCTTCTCAAAACAGAACCCGACCTGGGAAAAGAGCAGGAGAGCAAATTCCATACAATTCAAAACATCTAATGAAAAGTATGTCTCCTCATGGAAATAATCACAGGAATCTTTCTCAAATGAATCCCTGAAGAGGAAAAGGAAGACATTTTGATATGTCCTCTGGCCCTGAAAGAAGACAAATCTGCAGGAAACCATAGCAAACTAGTTAGAAACCAATAAGTGAATGATGTTGAAACCATGACAATAGGGAATAATAATAGGATCTATTGATTTGGCATATTCATTTCATCCCTACTCTGCCCCAATGGTTTTTATTCCAGAATAAAGAGAACTCTCATTTTGTGATTCTCTGGAGACATTTCAGTGGCAAAAGGAAAGGTTTTTTCATGGAAACCCTGCAACATTTCAAACCAATGGCTGTCCAATCTCTTCTTAAAAACTTCCCATGTAGAGCATTGATAATCAGACCTGCAAGATTCTGGAAATTAGTTAATTTTGGGGGGGTTGGGTTTGGGTTGGAATAATTCCTAAAAAAATAGTGTGAATTCATTGTGCCCATTTAAAGATGATTGTTGTTGTTGTTATTAATTGTGAAGTCATGTCCGACCCATCACGACTCCATGAATAATATTCCTCCCGGCCTTCCTGTCCTCTACCATCCAATGGAGTCCATTTAACCTCATGCCTACTGCTTCAATGACTCCATCCAGCCACCTCATTCTCTGTCTTCCCCTTCTTCTTCCTCCTCAATAATTCTTAGCATTAGGCTCTTCTCCTGTGAGTCCTTCCTTATCATTAGGTGGCGAAAGTATTTGAGTTTCATCTTCAGGATTTGACCTTCTAAAGAGCAGTCATGGTTGAGCTCCTCTGGGACTGACCAGTTGGATCGCCTTGCAGTCCAAGGGACTCGCAGGAGTCTTCTTCTCCAGCACCGTAGTTGAAAGGCCTCAATTCTTTGGTGCTCAGCGTTTCTTATGGTCCAACTTTCACAGCCACACATTGCAACTAAGAAAACCATAGCCTTGACTATAGGCACATTTGTTGGCACGGTGACGTCTCTGCTTTTTACCATGCTGTCTAGATTTTCCATCTAGATTTGCCATCAAAATGTGATACTTTATTATAATTAGCAGATCTTCCCAAAATAAAAATTTGTTTGGGAAAAGCAGCAGGAGATTTTCATTTCATGAAGCATTTAACTAAACACTTAATGAAAAATATGAGGGAAATCAAGCTCACTCAGGATTCTGGGAGATTTCAAAAATGAGGCTCGAATG